AAGTGCCGATGATGATGATATGGATGACGATAACGACGACGACGATGACGATGAGGTCTTCGTATTCCGGCAGATGGACTAATAGAAGTCATTCCAGCTGCGTCATTAACGGTGGTTTTCATGCATGCGTGTCATCATCCGCTCGCAATAATTTTCGCAGAAAGCGGGAAAAGTCTTCTCAAATGACGTCACCACCTGCAGTTTCTCTCTTTCTCTCTCTCTCTCTCTCTCTCTCTCTCTTGAAAAATGAGAAAAAAGGATAAGATGAAGAAAGAAGAAGAAGAAAGAGAACGAGGAGGCGGAGGCAGGAGAGGAGAGGAGAGGATCCCATCGGGAGAGGCAGACGGAGGCGTTGAAGGACGAAGAGGTAGAAGTATGAAGTGAGCATATTACTATTGAGAATAAGTACCTGGCTTCGAGACGGGTGTTCTGTTCCAAGAAGAGGAGGGCACGAAGCAATGGAGGATGGACGGCGGGGGTGTAAATGGGGTGGCACAATGGGCACTAATGGATCTCAAGCCGCCGCGAGAGGCGCTGCTTTTAATCTAATTGTCCTTCGTAGCCAACCGCGATCGCGATCAGTGGTATTCAACTGTGATCCTTCGTATATGCGAGAGGCCGCGGCCGATAAACGAAGAAAAAGTCGCCAATATCCATCGAACGGATTCTTGTCTTGAGGTCGCGCCTTTTCTTCTTCATTTCATTTCGGGAAACGAGCGACTTACAATTTGACGATTCCGCCCCCGAAAATTATTCACCGACGCAACATTCGTAAGAAAGAAAGAAATGTAAGGAAGCGTTCTCTTGGCTATTGACTTTAGTCACGCTTCGACATCGATGATGTACAGCCCGCGCGATTATTTCAAGGTTCAAGTGAATATATTCGAGGGGATCATCTGAAATTATCTATTAATCTTTCCAAGAAGTACGATAGGTGTTTTAAGCTTTAAGCCTTAAGAAATTGACCAATCACAGTCGAATGTGAGGAGAATAATCAACTGTGATTGCTCAATTTCTCAAGGCTCGAGATTTAAAACACCTATTGCAGACCGGAACTTACTTAAACGTGCCACTCTACGAACGACGACGGCGACGGCGAATGTGTTCGCGCGAACACCCGAAAGATAAAATACTAAAGTTCGCGCGAGGTTACAGGACCGAAATTCAGCGATACCGTCGTCTGACGAACGAAATCGGAGGGAAGTGGACCTCGAGCGTTTCTTTCTCCCTCTAGTGGTTCCATTTAGCGGAACTTTGCGGTATTATGCGACGCGGCTGTTGAGCCTCGCGCTAAAACGCGAGACGAAAGCGCGCGCTATACTTCGCCGTAATGTGGCAATACAGAACGTCTGCGCTGAAATCTCGAGTGCACCCGTGCCCTGAGCTCCTTCGCCGCCTAAAACACGCACGCAAGATATACACGCGCGTACTCATCACGGCGACCGGTCTCGTCGACGAAATCAACCCTCCGAGCGTGTCAAGTCGAACGTTGAAATGCATCTTCTTCCCGGAGACTGTGGAGAAAAAGACTTCCTACGTGCGATTAAAAAATCGATCGCAATTTATCTGTGGTATCTTCGGATCTGCGCGATCCCTTATGTATACATATACAAGGTGTTTCGCACGGGCATAATTTCAGAAATATTAAGTTAACCGGAAAAAGTTCGTGCGGATTCTTCGAAATTGAAACACTCTATGAAGGGAATTGCTATTTGCCAGATATATACGGACAATTAATACTCCTAACAAATCTTTCTGCTGTCCAAACAAATCGTTCGCTGTCTAAACAAATCTTTTCTTCACTGTATCAACAAACATTTGCTGTTCCGGCAAACATGTTTGTTTTCCCCATGCGTGAACACACGCGTCGGGGAGAGATTCGATTCGCTCTTCGTTAATGTGCCAAATTATTTACACTACCACTGCCATCTCCTTCCGGCCATGTCCACCCGTCCCTCTCCTCCGGCTCTCTGTACAATAAATTATTGAGAAGCAGCCGCTTCTCCGGCTTCATCAGTCGGCGACCAATTCCGCCTCCACCGAGGCCCTATCGCCGCGCACGGTCAGAACTCACCTTCGAAATGAAATATCCTTCACCCATATCGCGTTATCGGCGGCGGTGCTCTATCAAGCCCGTCAATCGCGCGCGCTTCCCAAGCAGGTGGTGCAATAATTACTTCCCCCGCTAACGATAACGCGCGACGATAAGGATAATTCCCGTCCGTTCGTCCGTACGTACGTCCGGCGACTTCCCTTTCGCGACAGATAAATTCCTGATAACGCGGATAAATTGGCCGGATTGTAATTGCCGTTGTGCGTGTTACCGGCGTTCACGCGCCGTGATCCTCCCACCCGCCGCAGGACGAAATTCACTTTCGATGGCGCGGAAAACGCGTGACCCACGGGCGAGAGAACGACGACGATGACGACGATGACGACGACTGAGGGGTGGGTGGGGCGCGATTAAACGCCGCGCGCGATACAGCGTGTATTATAGTCGGCGGCGTCCGTGGGAATTCGGGGTGCGTGTCGGCCAGCTGCACGCGCGGAATTCAGGAAATCGTTGTAATGACGCGCGGCCAATACGCGGCAAATCTTTTCACGATTAATGACGCGGAAGCGATTTCGCCGTCGTTCGCGCGCCCACCCGCGTGTGAATCGCTCTCGCACGGACGGGAGGGGTAGGGAGGAGGAGGGCGAATTAGCGGCGCGGTCTCGCAGCAGGGCGTGAAAAAGAGTCGGATCACCTGGCACCTGCCCCTTATTAACCGTGATACGTTCGCTCGAATGTACACACGAAGTCGGGTGAGCGCGTGTAATCGATGGACGGCGACGCAGCCGAGCTGCCGGTGTGCCCGCGAACGAGTTCACAGGCCGTGTCCGACCCTCATTCTCTCACGGATCTCGCCGTGCAATCTGTAGTATTTCCGTGATGGTAAATTGTGTTATTTTTTTTTATGACATATTCAAATATCGCAGCAATCCCGGATGTTTGCACGCGGATCCTTCGAAATCGGTCTTTCGTCTCCAAAGAACGGGTCGATCTCGAGAAAGTTTTTAAGATTCGTCGAGCTCGTCGTACGTCTTTTTCCACAAAATATCACAAATTCTCCATAATATTATTATAAAAAAATGCAGATCTAGAAAAAAGAAACCAACTCCGCGAAAAGTCTCATAGATCGCCGAGTCGGTTCTTCGTCGCCGCTGATTGATCTGCGATATCTTCAATGTGCCAAATTATACATCATTCCTTTTTACAATCCGATAAAATATCGTAGCGATTCCGATGATTGCACGCGGGTCTGCCGAAATCTGGCCCTTCGTAGCGAGGAAAGATCGACTTCGAGGAGACTGCCGGCGTTCAAGCAGACAACGCGTAGGTACGCGCGATAGGTTGGCGATCACCTTCCGAAGGAAATACGATTCTGAGCGTGAAATTCCTTGATAAGTGCAATATATTTTTCTTTAACTCGGATGGGTAACCTATATATTTACACAAAGTCGGTAGCTCGTCGTATCTCATATACATATGTATACATGGTACATAACTAGTGCGTATATGATACATGTATCTTACAAAACTGCCTCGCGCGATACGCTTCGCCTGATACATTACAGACAGGCGATCCTGTACGGCACTTGATACTTCGAGAGAAGTCTTGCGCGACTGTCGGCTTCTCGTTTATTTCCTCGCACACGGGATCAATTAAGCCGATTGCGCCACAGTAATTCGTAAGCGTGACATTGCACAAATTTTCCAAAGGAGAAAGAAAAACAAGAAAATAATCGATAGTTCTTCGAAAATACAAAAAGGCTCCTCTTTAAAGACAGACAATACGATAGAAAAATCGCCGTCATCTCGAGTCCGTTGAATAAATTTCCGCAAGATTCGTAATTAAAAATTTTCAACCGCATAGTTTGGAAGGGAAAAATCCCGGGTCTCTTTCGCCCGGCGAAATATAATAGCACAGGTATCATACTTTGTTGCTGCGATTTTCAAGAAAAGGGAAGACTCAAACTCGTCGATGTTTTAAATCCGTTTATCGTGCCACTGAGTCATCGGTGTCATTATTGGGAGCTCGGGATCGTTTGTGCATGCACTTCAGCATCTCTCCTTTATCGGCTGTATAGACTCGAGAGCGTGAACGAATCTATTCGAAAGGATATTCGCGACCCACGACGCGTTCCGTCTTTGTGACTCGGGGGATCAAAGGGACGCGTGTATCCGATCAGCGGCTAATTACCGATTGATAACTGACGCACGATAAACTCATGTCTCGAGCGAATCTCCAATTAGCGATGAAACGTCGTCTTTCGACCGGTATTGCCGGATTATTAATTGAATCTGTCGAGAATTGGCGGCGCGAATACGCCGCGACGAGTGACCAAGGGTGCGTCGAATGCGGTATCCGCTACCTGCCGTCGAATATCTGCTACTCGATTCCGTGACTAAATTGAAATCCTACTGGGGTGTGTCTCGGGGGAAAATGCAAAGACACATCCTTCATCGTTCGGATCCTCCGCCGGTGGAGTCACGTTACGAACGATCTCCATTCGTCGAAACGAGCCTTCGTACTGCGCTCACACTCTGCTTCATACATGCTTCCCCTAGATCGTGAGCCACACGATTTTCCATATCATGCATGTACGATTAAGGTAAAAAATCGCACAAGTAGCTCTGATTATAATGGTAGGATTATAACGGCTCTATTTATTACGGTCTCGACCTTATATGCATGTATGGAGAAAAATGTTCCTTTGGATTTAGTATACGCGTTCGTTCGACCTGAGTTTGTTTAATATGAATAACATAATTCAATATTAAACATCATTTTGTTTTAATGAAAACGTTGTTTCACCGGAGCAAGCCATATTGTTTAATAGAAAAAACGGTATTATTTCAAGAAAATAATATTCGTTTTAGTTAAAAATATTTATTTTATCATATATTAAATATTCCCCCACTGAAGGAAAGAAATTCTTTAATATTTTTCTAGCATTCCAAGAAATAAATTTGTTTCGATCGCAAACATTTGATTAAATTCGACGAAATTTTTTTTCCTCCGTATACGTGTAAGACGACCGAAAACCGTGTAATTTCCGATCCGGGGAGTGGTGAAGCATGTATGACGCGGTACGCAGATCAAAAGAATGCCTGACGACGTCGCGCGAGCGACCACGAAGTACAAATCCCGTAACACACCTCGATGAGCATGCGGATCCTTGTCGCGCGTAAAAAACGCGAAACGGAAACACAGCCTGTCGCGGCTGTCTCTATACACCCGGATCGAAATTCCTTCGTACCGAAAGGTCGGCCAAAGTCGTCCACGACGAAGGAGCCCCGGGGGTGGCGGGGGAGGGGGAGACGTATTTACAAAAGTCCGCAAGCTCTCACAGTTAATTGTCCGCCTTGCGTAGCACCTCCTCCGCCTTCACTCTCAGCACTTCCGCGCTCTGCTTCCTGATCTCGTCGTCGGACGACGCCGAGTCCTCGTCCTTGTCGTGCTTCGAGCTCAGGTTTTGCGGTATGCTCTGCACACCTCCGCCGAGATTCAAAGGGTGCCCGTGCAGACCGTGGCCGCCTAGGGTGTGGCCGTTCACGTTGCCGTGGTTCAAGGACGTAGCGGCCGGATTCAGGCCGACCGGCAGCATCGTGCCGAGTGACGCCAGGTTTTGCGGCAACGGCAGGCCGATATACTGCGACAGGATCGCATGCAACGGCGGCAGCTTGGGCGCGCTCGCCGGCCATGGCGGCGGGAACACCGGCGGGATGAACCAAGGAAAGGCGCCGGTCGGTGGTCCCGAAGGATCGGGAACGCCGCTGGCCGTCTGCAGCAGGCGCGCGTGAAGGGACAACTCGCTCACACCTGCAAACAGGATTCCGCGGCGGACCCGCTTTTATTCTCATTTCGTGCCCGTTGAGAGTTTCTCTTCCGCGCGCCTTTTTCCGTCGACAAATCGCGATTCCGGGATTATCTTCTCTTTCTCCTTTTAACGCGGAAGTACGATCGCCCGCGCACGCGCACGCTCGTCGCGTTTTCTTATTGCGTGCAGTTAGCTATTTGATTTTAATTTATATCTGTTATAAATGAAATATTCTTGAAATACTCTTTGCATCTCTGAGATATTAACGCAAATTCTACATCGCCGCATATCTCGAGTGTTCTTACATTGAGTCTGTCAGAAAGTTCAAGAGAATCGAAACATTTCGATTGACCCGACTCTTTTCGGAGAGAAACAAGGACTCCTATTTTCCTGATTCCTTTTCATATACGAGGCCCATATCGATGATGTGAGCGGTTGCGCTAGTTGAAGTTAGGCGGGAAATTTGGAGAATGCTTCCTCGTTACGCGGACGAACGTAGTTAATAAAAATCGATCGCAGAGTCGCGGAGTCATTAGTGGAAATATTTTTTTCACCGCCAACCTTGCTTGCCCACGTTCCCCCTTTCATCCTCCCTTTTAGAGTGCACGAGTTTTATCCGTAGGGTGCCTCTTTCTCTCTCTCTCTCTCTCTCTCCCCCCCCCCTTTCTCTCTCATGAAAAATTAATCGGCCAGGGTTTCTATTGCGCATCATTCGCACGTGATGGTTGCGACAACCGACACTGAAATTAGACATAATTGTCACCGATTGCATCTACCCTTCGTAACTCGTGCTTCGCCATCCCTCCCCTGCGCATATTAGCGAGCGTAACACGCGCGTAGTACGCTACAACGCGAAGCGAGGAAGCAACGGATAGAAATGAACGATTGTTATTGGGCACCGACGATCTGCAACTCGGTGATCGTTGCTTAAATTTTCAACGAACTGAGAACTGAGAGTTTGTCGACAGTTAAGAAGAGAGTCGCGCTAGGAAAAGCCGATTGATTACTGGATTACTTTTCTTTTTCACAAACGTAGACATAGAATGTAAAAACAGAAAATTGTGCTCGAATCATATCACACTACTGGTAGTGATTTTTGCAAAACGAGATTTCTTCGATCTCGGGTCGAAATTTTGATCCTACACGTACATCGGGAACTTATACGCGAAATGCCGAGATTCGAAAACGATCTCTGTAAATCGCCATCAACTCACCGCCTTGTTCGACATGCATGAAACTCGTGTCTCTGCCTAACGCCTTTTCCTTCTTGCGCCATTTCGCGCGACGATTCTGAAACCAGACCTGAAACAGAAGAAGGAGGAATTTTTTTTCATAATACTAATCGACGCTCAAGACTTTACTTTATTCTCCCATCGCGACAAATCTGTTGCGAAACAGCGAGTGATAAGTTGTCGCGGCTAATTCCATTATCGCATTAGACTGTTGAGAGATAATTCGCAGCCTCCGATGATGGCTAATTGTCAGATATTCCAAGATATTCGTCACGAAGATCCGAAATTGGCAGAAAAGGGGAGCGCATGAGAACCCCAAGCGCGCGTATCAGAGCGCCCAACAAAAGCTTGCTCTCGAGGTTGATTAAGCTAATTGTTAACAATTATCCTGATTTCCTTCGTACCCCTGAGTGCCCGTAACCCCTGCCCTCGGCCCTATCCTCGCCTATCCCCCGACCACCCCCGGCCACCCTATCGCTAGTCCGGTTGCCGTATAAATGCTTTCACTTTCTGCCTGAGCTGTTCCGATTTTTCGTCGGGTACCAGGAGCAGCGAAGGGAGAGAAGAAGGAGAAAAGAGGACGAGAGAAAGAAAGGAAACGTTATTATATCTCGGACATTATTCTTCAGGCTCGATAAAATGCATTGAAAATATATAAAAAAGACAAAATTAAATAAATATATATATATATATATACGTTTAAAAATGATGTGTAGTTTTCTCAATATATATAAAATTAAAAATGGAATTATCTACTCGTTATTAAACAAATAGTTAAACAAATAATTGCAGTTATAAATGCTTGAAAGGAACGTACAAGTTTAAAATAAGATAATGTCAATGCGATCTAATGGACCTTCCCTCTAAAGAGCGCGCGAGTCCCTCAGACTGCGAGGATTACGATTTACCATACACGACGACATTAATCACAACTTACTTGACAATTCGGATGAAATTTTAATACCCCGCGATCCGTCAGACCGCGGCAAATTAGCAATTTAGCACGGTAGGATTGCGGAGTAAAATCAAGCGACGCACGAAAATCGGGAGAGAACGTGGAGAGAAGAAAGTGAGCATCGAGGAAGGAGAGAGGAATAACGTTGAGGCGAGGGAAAGAGGTGAGCATCGCCGGGCGAGGGCAGGAAATTCAATTGCCTAATTGCTGTTAATTATTTAATCGCCTCTGAATAGCCCCTAACGCCTAAGTGCTCGCAAACCTTGCGTCATTTAAGCGACCCGCCGCCTCCCGGACCCGGAAAGTTTGCAACGCCGACGCGTTTCCATAACTGCCCCGCGTATTAATCTCTCGGACCATTTACCATCGAACTCGCTAATATTTCCATAATTCCCGCGTAATTCCTCCGCGAATTCTTGACCGAGACTCGGGTTAAATTTACTCGGATTATTTCCGGCGAAGAGGCGTATAACCAAAGCGCGACGACTTTTCTCGCGTAACGTGAACGACTGATTAATTATATAATAAAGTTTCGTGGGGAAACGTCTCTGATCTCGGAGAAGATTGAGAGGAAGATATTCATTGAAGCTTTTAAGACCGTTTCTTTCGTCACTCGATGATCAATCTAATAGAAAAGGTAACTGACGGATAAAGAGAAGGAGTCATCTAACTGATGGTAAAACCGCGCAACGAAGCGGATTGCGCGGAATTGCGTCGAGCTGTTCTCTCGCGGCGGCCGATAAAAAATTCCGCCGGAGCGTCCGGCGATCGCGAAATCACGACTGGTGGGGAGGGAGGGATAGGAAACGTCAGAAGCGACTCGCGATTGCATTACCATACGCGCGATCGTCGCGATACATCGGCCGGCCGTTAATACCGAAAAATGGGGTAATTTCGCATCCTGCGAATCGGCGCAGAAGAGCGCGGGGGGTGGCGAGGTGGCGGGGCGGGAGGAGAGGGCAGGATTTCCTAGATTGAAATAAAGTGGCCGTGGCACCAGTGCGCCGCGGCGGATCATTTAGCGGTTTTGTCGAGCGACGGCCAATTGCCGGCATTGTCGCTCCGCTGTACCACAATGGGCCAATCGGAATGCTCTCTGTCTCTTTTCAGCGTCACCGCCACCCTTCCGTCGACGTTGCTCCACGCAACCCCTCACACTCACTCGCGGACATATATACATATGGAACATGCCGTATATGTAGAAATATGTATGTATATATGTTCACATGTTTATGTGCGTGTGTGTGTACGTATGTGTGTGCGTGTATGCGCGCGCCTCCTTCAAAATTACCGACAGTTTCTTTGCCGTGTGTGTCTACGTCAGTGCGAAACAATCGCCGATTCGCTGGGGTCGCAATTCACTCGACGCGGGTATCGGTCCTTTGAGAAAAAACCCTTCGATCGATTCGGTAATCGTCCCACCGTTGATCCTTGTCGAAAAAGCATTAACGTGTCGCGAGCTTCGTTCGAGCGAGCTGGTCGACCTAATCGAAATTATTAAACGTCGCGTCGTTAATTAATTTGAAACCCAAACTAGGCTACTTTCGACATAGTGAATTTCTCGTGCGAGAATTGTTTTATTTCCGCAGAATAAGAGAGAAAGGCAGATAGGAAGAGAGAGAGAGAGAGAGAGAGAGAGAAAGAGAGAGTGAGACGATGCGTACCCACGGATTGAACTCTACACCCCAATGCGCTACGCAACGTACTTGAATTTGTCAAGGACGCTGCTTTAAAGTAATTCCTAAGCAGATTATTGCTCTATACCAGCTCTCCGCCTCTTCGCTCCCTCCCCCTCCCCCCTCCCACCCCCTTCTTCCTCCCTTTTCCCTATTCGCGGAATTAATCATTGACGGGATGCGGGCGTGTGTTTCACAAAATTACAGATGTAGAAACGGCAGCGTGACATTTTGCGATACAATGGCCCCTAATTAGTTGAGTGACTCTCGCGCCTCGAGGCTGAGTCGTGAGAAAGAGAAAGACAGATAAAGAGAGAGAGAGAGAGAGAGAGAGAACAATCCTTGCAAAGGTTCGAGAACGCTTGATACTCCCTGAGCTCCCCGCGGAATACACAGAAATTAGTCGTCACGTGAAAATTGTTGGCTCGTGAAGATCATTTCATGCCATTGTAAGACCGGCTACCGCACAATACCGCGCGGGAACACTGGAATTTTATCCGCGCAAAAAGTAGTGTGAGTAAATTTTAGGATCGTGAGAATAAATTATTCATTCGCGATCTATGATTGCCGAAAACGCGCGCAACGTATCGATAACGGAATAATTTTCGATGTTGATTTTCATTATGAATACTATTATGATGCAACATCCGGGATATCCGCTTGTATAGCAGAGCATACTTATTGCCTTCGGAGTTCTTCAAATTGGACTTCATATTTAAACGTTAAATTTACGCACGAGCTGCCGGTCAGCCTTTTAAACTCCGTCATGTTGGTCGAATCTAAAGCTCGTTATTCAAACTACTTACGGAACTTGCGAATGCCGCTATCAAATGCGTGAAACTCGACGACACCAGCGTGCCTTTGTGAATTCGGCCGGCCAAAGCGGCGGAAGGTTAATTATGCTTCTGCAACCGTCTCGTCTGCTGATAAAATCTGGCTCGAACTCTTTCCCCCTCCCTCCCGTTCTCTTCAAGCCGCATTTGAAATATCCGAATTGGCCGTCGCGGAAAAAGGCGTGAGTTAATCTCTTGCCAAACACACGGAGGAAAATTAACTTTTCCTCACGCGAGAATATCGTATCGAAATTTAGGAGGATATACGATATATATGTATAGTTGAAAATATCGTATACCCTTCGCAATAATATTCTTCTGAACTATAAAAAAACTATAAATAGATCTTTTTAAAAGATTTTTTACTCCCTCGGGACGGAAGAAATCCACAGAAAAATTAGGAAAATCGAGTTTTCTCTGAAATTTTAAAATTATAATAAAAACACAACTCCTCTTCCCCTGCGTATGCTAAAATTTCTAATTTGCTTTAGATCCCTACCTCTCGCTCTTTCTCTCTCTCTTTCTCTGCTGTCCAAACATTTGCGCAAATATTTTCCTTACTTTCAAAAAATGTCACTATTTGTTACCTGAACTCGGGCTTCCGAGAGGTCCAGTCTCATCGCCAGCTCCTCCCGGGTAAATACGTCTGGGTACTGCGTGTTCCCAAAGGCCTTTTCGAGCTCATGCAGCTGATAGGTCGTGAAGGTAGTACGGGAACGCCGTACTTTTCGCGGCCGATCAGATTCGCCCAAGTTCAAGGAATCGTGCAGACCGTCGTTGATCTGATGGTCGCTCAGGTGACCGAGTTCCGTGTCGCCAGCATCAACGGCTGCATCGGACGACGTCGCATGATCTGAAATTAATAATATCGGGACTGCGTTGTACAAATGCGACGAGAAAACTCTTCACGATTTGAATCCCTATCTCCTTACATTCGTCTTACATTCTTATACAGGGGGAAACCATTATTAATAATTATTACCACCTTGCGTACCTTCGGAAAGTAAAAATTAACGACCAGACGAAGATAAGTAAAATTTGTATTTATAGGTGTACGAAGCGATGAATAGTATCGATGTAATGTTTGTTCTTCGTATATTCTTACAGCTGGAATTGGACAAACAAAAGGTTTCGAACATTGCACTCCGTTTGTACACGTTATATCCCATTTACAATGTCGATGACTGTTTTCAAATATCTCGAAAAAAAAACAACAAAATCGTCACTTTGTCATATTTTGAAAATGGTCACATTCCCGACTTTCTTCAAGACGCGAACGATAAGATTGAGAAAACGAAGGTAAAGAGGAGGGAGAGTATAAACGATTCTGCGAGTAACTTCACTTTCTGACAATCTCATTCAATCCGATATTTCTAAAACCATTTATAATATACTGCCGACGCGCGTACTTCTAATGAGACACGTCGTAATTGTAACGCCACGCTCGAATCGAACGGAATACATCCGTATAAGCGGTCGAAGGGAAGAATTTTTTTCCCGTTTTACGAGACGCGGAAATCCCTGTGACCCTCCCAAGTTATTTGGCGCATCCTCGCTCGTTAAACGCCCGTACACACATGTATACACACGTATACGTCAAACGATACCTCCGATACTCGAGCGCGAGAGACGATCGAGGCGATTAAGCCATATCGCTCACGTTGCCAAAACGAAATTGTCGTTTTGCCTGATATATCCTGGCGTCGGCGGCGTCGGCGGCGTCGGCGGCGGCGGCGTCGGCGGCGTCGGTAGCGGCAGGGCGGCGGGGAGAAAACGGGCGCAATTTCATTTTTAAGCCGCACAACGACCGGTACCGATATAACCGATACGCCGATGACGTCCGATCGGCGGATTTGCCAATTTTTAAGCCTCACCCGGTGCTTCATTTTTTTTCCCCCCTTTTTTTTTCATGTGCCGCTCCATATATCCGCGCCCCGCGTGTACACGCGCGAAATACTCTACAAATGTAAGTGCGCACATTATACGTATGTGCTCGACAGTACTTAAAAGCCGTCGCTGTCAGTGATTAGCAAATATCACGAGTGCATACTACCGCCTGTTCCTCCTCCTCTTTCTCCTCCTCCTCCTCCTCGTCCTCTACCCTCTTTCCCTCTCGCAATACAGTAGTCTTGCACCCCCGTGCAACACATGCCCTTCTCGGCTTTCTGCGATTGCAACCCACCTCGTCCCCCCCCCTCCCCCCCCCCCCCCCC